GGGTTGCCTAGTTTGCTGCCAATTTTGTGAGGGTTTCAGCTGGGATCCCAGGGAATGTAGAGAGACATTTCAAGTCTGACTCGGGACCTGTGTCGGAGTAGCCTCTTGTGGAGGCTTTGATGGAGCACATTGATGGAAGAAGCACTGGCAGCTTCATAGCAAATTAGAGTCGATTCTCGTAACGATATGTTCTGGGCTTCTTTTGCATGCATCTGGGAAGGATACAGGACAGCAAAAGGGCTGAAGGGGCATTGGGATGGATTTTTAAAGCTATTTAGCTGTCTATGGGGATTTTCTAAAACACCTAGACTCTTATCGCCCTTTAATTTCACTGGGTCTTAAAAGCAAAAGTTGCTTTTGAATATCCCACAAGGCTTCTAAATTCCTTTAAAAATGTGGCCTGTAGAGACCAAAGTCTCACTGATTTTTAATTGGTTGAGATGCCCGTCTCTCTTAGGCACTTTTGAAAACTTCCCCCAGTTGATGAGCAGGCTGCTGGCAGGTTTGCTGTTTGTCTCTCATGGGCAGTCTCTGTTTGATCTGTGGTGTTTTCCTGCAATCACAAATTGAAGCGCTCTCTAGATCTATGCAAGTTTTTTCATATGGTTGATGGATTTCCATTCCAAACGGTTAAATATAGTGCCTTTTAATTCGGTAGAGATGCCCGTCTCTCTTAGGCACTTTTGAAAACTTCCCCCAGTTGATGAGCAGGCTGCTGGCAGGTTTGCTGTTTGTCTCTCATGGGCAGTCTCTGTTTGATCTGTGGTGTTTTCCTGCAATCACAAATTGAAGCGATCTAGAGAAATGGGGCAAACTGTATTGTTTGGGTTTGGAAAACCTGACTATAGAGTTGTTGGCCTGATGTAGTTTCCGAAAGGAAAGCTGGTCTGGTGCCTAAGATTCTGGAGTGAGACTTAAGACTAGACCCCTCCACCCCACACACACCCCCTGTAAAACCTGTGCAAGGTGTGTGTGGCAAAGTTTTCAAAAATGCCAATACATCACATTTTCCAAGTGACTTATAATTATTTCTGGAAAAAGAGCGTCTACATTGGCAGGATGCTTTTCCAGAAAAGCTCTTTTTTCCAGAAAAGAGTCCGTGTCAATGTAGACGCGCTTTTCCGCAAAAAAGCCCCGATTGTCATTTTTGCGATCGGGGCTTTTTGGCGGAAAACACTACTGTGCTGTCTACACTGGCCCTTTTCCGGAACAGTTTTCCGGAAAAGGACTTTTGCCCGAATGGGAGCAGCATCGTTTTTCCGGAAAAACACTGATCATTTTACATTAGATCGTCAGTGCTTTTCCGGAAATTCAAGGGGCAAGTATAGACAGCTGGCAAGTTATTCCGGAAAAGCGGCTGATTTTCCGGAATAAGTGGCCAGTGTAGACACAGCCCTGTTGATTACAATAAGGCTTCAGCTCCTAGCTCACTTTGAAAGTCCATGGGACTTAGACTCCAAAGCCACATGAGAGCCTGCAAAAACTTTACCCTTCCTCAGTCTCTGCCTCAGTTTCTTCATCTGTAAAATGCGGCGGGAGGGGAATTGACAAGCGATAACACTGGATGAGACGTAACAGGTGAATGAGAAAATGAAGCTGCTTGGGGTGGAGTTGATGGGGTACTAAATATACTATAGGGGAGTCATAAAGACACTATTCTGCATGGGTAATTGAAACTGCAATTAATGTGACTACGTAAGCACCATGAGAGCCAGGAGTGTCACCTGAGTGTGAGCTCTTAGAAGACACAACAACCAGACAACCCCCCCAGTTCCTCATATTTAATCCCATCTCCTAGAGTCCCCGCCCTGCCCGCGCTGGCACGGGGTCGCTCTGAAGGCGGGAAGCGCCGGGCTCCTCCTCCTGCTGGTGACGGTTGCAGGGCTCGGTGTTTGGGGTAAGTGGCTCAGAGACGTTTATTCAGTGGCTGTCACCCAGAGAGCTAGCTTCGATTTTTATTACATTCACCAGCAATGCAAGGAACCTACAGGCCTGTCCCCAGTCAGACAGGGGCATGGGTGATGGGTGAATCACAGAGTTTGGGAGGCTAGCCCCTGGCCTGGCCCATCCCTTCTGCTTGAAGCCCCAACTCTCCTGGACTCCCTGTCCTCACCGTGGAAGTCCAGAAGGTCCCAACCAATGTTCCCTTTATTTTTTTCCATGTGTGTGCAGATTTTTGTCTAGCCATGTGCAGAATAAATTTTATGTGCACAGAGGCATGTGCGGATGTGCACCACCAGTAGAAGCACAAACCTAGCTGGGAGCGCTCTGCTGATCAGCTGGGCAGCACTGGAATCTCTCCCGAGTGGCCACACAAGCACCCGGCTTACAGGGAACCCTGGTCCTGACCCGCAGCCATCAACCCTCACCCCTGGAGCACCTCCCCCCCCGCCCAATCCTGGAACACCACCTGGGGTTGGTGGGGGGTTGGTGGGCTCCTCCAACCTCAGAGCATTGGATGGGTGATGCATGTTCCCCACCCCAGCCCCAGATTACCAAAAGCATGGGCCCTGTTCCCCCAGCCGTGGGTCACCCCATGTTCCTGCCACCCAATCTCCAGCCCTTTCAAGCTTCCCAGAAAAGCATCAGCTTGATGAGGCTAGGGCCTACTGGGGCAAGCCGGAGGGGGTCATGGTGCTGAGCAGAACAGGGTCATGCGGTGCTGTTTGGAGAGGCACAGCCTGCCCCTGCCGATGCCGTCCAGTGCCCACGGATGTAAGGGGTGTTCGGTAGGTTAGCATCAGTCCAGTAGAGCTGGCCTGCAGCCCTTGGCATAGATCAGTGTTTCCCAATTTTATTTGGCCACAGAACCCTCTTAAACTCGAAAGAATTTCAAGGAACCCCCTAATACAGTGGTGCACCAGCCGGGCCTAGGATAGCCAGGGGAAAAATGTGTCAAATGTGGGCCAGGAGGGAAGGTAGAGGAGAGGTCTTGGGGTAGGGTGTCTGGCCAGGAGGGAAGGTACAGGAGGGGTCTTGGGGCAGGGTGTCTGGCCAGGAGGGAAGGTATAGAGATCCTGGATTTCAATCTCTTTGCTAGCAGCCTAAATTTGGCATTTATGACTTCTCTCCTTCCCTTTCCAATGTCCTTGGTAACTACATATACCATGGCCACCGGCTCCTCCCCAGCACTACACATAAGACTATCTAGAAGTCTCGAGAGACCCGCAACCTTCGCACCAGGCAGGTTACCCATCATACGGTTTTCCCAGTCATCACAAACTGCTGTCTATGTTTCTAATGATCTAATCCCCCATTACTAACACCTCATTTTTCCTAATGACTGGAGTTCCCTCCCCCAGAGAGCTGCACGGGGTAGCTGAATTAGTCTGTTACAGAAAAAAACAATAAATGGTGTGGTAGAACTTTATAACCTAACGAAACATGTAGATGGTATCATGAGGCTTCGTGGGCACAGCCCACTTCTTCAGAAGACCAGAGTTATGAGTTGGGGATATGAAAACTCGAAATAAACAGGAGAGGGGAAAGGGAGGGGGAGAGAAAAAAGGCAGGGGGTGGGAGACAGAGCATCAAAAAAAAGGGAGGGGTGGGAGACAGAGCATCATTAAGTATCTAGAGAATAGGTACCTAAGCAGATAAAAATCTATGTGAATAGATTCCTAAGAAAGGAAGGATACCACTCAGAGAGCTCTTTGCACCTTCATTGGTTATTAAGTATTAAGATTCCAGGGCTTCTCTTGGATCTGGCTTGTGGAGCTGGTTTGTGACAAGACAGCTACCTGCAGGTCTGTCAGACTGTGGTTAGGCAAGCTGAAATGCTCACCAACAGGCTTCTGTGTATTTCCTTTACATATATCCTATTTGTGTCCATTGATTCTTTCCTGCAGAGGCCGTCCAGTTTGTCCAATATATATAGCAGTGTGGCACTGCTGGCATTTGATGACATAGATCATATTACTGGATGTACAGTCTCAGGGTCCCAGCTGCCTGGCCCAGCTCCCAGGGCGTGGGTAAAGGAGGGGTCTTGGGGCAGGGTGTCAGGCCAGGAGGGAGGGTACAGGAGGAGTCTTGGGGCAGGGTGTCAGAGCATGCTGGGAATACAGGGTCTTGGTAGGGAGAAGGGGGTGAATGAGCGGGATTTGGGTGCGGGCTCTGGGTATGGAGGTGACGCTTATGTGTCTTGGGTGGTGTCGAGGGTGGTGGAGCGGCCAGAGCCTACGGGCTGCCTACGGGCTCTGCAGGGGGCGGGGGAGCAGAATTTTTTCGCGGAACCCCGGGGTTCCTCGAAGCATAATTTGGGAAACCCTTGGCCTAGATGAAAGGGGAACTGGGACTAGCTTGCACAACAGCAGGGGCTGGAACGCAACACTGAAGTGATACCGGGGCAGAGATATTTTAGGACGGGATCCTGGGCAGCTGTCTCACCACTCACCTGCTCGAGCAATGGGGGACGTACGTGGGAATGAGGTCAGTGGCACGAAGAGGCTATGCGATAGAGCCCCCTAGGACTGGCAGAGACCTCAAGGGGCACCGAGTCCAGCCCCCTGCCCAAAGCAGGACCAACCCAATCAAATCATCCCAGCCAGGGCTTGGTCAAGCCAGGAGTTAAACACCTCTAGGGATGGAGACTCCACCCCCTCCCTAGGGAACCCATCCCAGCGCCCAATATTATGAGGGTAAGGAAGTTAGATTTGGACATGGAGGGCTGGGCATTAGAATGAATATTCATGATGCTGCCCAGCCTTGTGTGCCCATGACTTCCCGTAATGTCTCAATCTGGTGCCCTGTCTCCGTGCTTCACCATGCTAGCAGGGCCTAGCATGATACCTTGATTAGCCGCGGCTTCTCCTGGGTTAATTACCACGACATGTCTGCTACGGAGCACAGCGCCAGAGCCCCTGCCTGGTGGCTTTTGGCTACGTAGCAAGCCCTCCTGGCCAGCTGAGGCAGTAGGTCAGTTGCCCATTCCATGGCTAACACGGATTAATCGAATGCCGGCCCTCCCCGTGCCTCAGTTTCCCCTTGACTGTGTGATCTCGAGCAACTCATTTCCCTTTTTTCTGCCTCCCTTCCCCACCCATCCTCCCTTTGTCTGGTCTTTTTACTGCTGGGCGTTTGTCTGCACAGCTGGGCATCATGCAGTGCCAATCTGAGTGCTACCGAAACACAAATGTTTTCTTGTTCAGCTGTCACATGTCTGCCATTTAAACTGCATGATACTTCCTCAGCCCCAACAGGATAGCAAAGTGTTACTCACCCAGGCACAGCTGAGGGGTAGATGTGTGAATCACACCTGGTCTTCTAGAAAGAAGGAAGCAGATCAAAACTTTTTTTATATCAAAAGGATTTTATTCAAACATAGTTTTTTTTCCTTTTTTGAAACACTTTTTGACAAAATTGAAAAAAAAACACCCCAAAATATCCTTTTTTCCTCTCTATGTTTGGGTTCTTTGTTTTTTCCCCTCATCCCCAAAATATCCTTTTTTCCTCTTTATGTTTGGGTTCTTTGTTTTTTCCCCTCATCCCTCTCTTTATTCTTTTATCATTTATCCATTTGCTGATTTTTTTCATGAAATTTTGCAGATATATTTTTTTTACTTTTGACATTTATCATTTTTATGGTGATTTTCCCATCTTTCCTCTTTCTCTTTCTTTTTCCATTCAATTTCAAATAGAGGCCCGGGGTGTTGAAGGTTTGTTTGGGGTTTTTTCTTCCATTTTTCATTTATTTCCACATTGCAGCTTCTGAACACTTGCAGAGTGGCCAAAGGAAAAATGAGAAAACCTGGGCTATCGTTCCTTCCCTCGCATTCAGTGGCAAAACAAGAGGAAAGGCAAATGGGGGAAGGAGGAAAAAAATAAAAACAAAAAATGGAACAGGGAATGAAAAATTTGAAAAGCAAACATTTTCATGGAAAACATTCAAAAATGACAATTTTTTTCATTTAGAAACCTGAAGAAACCAAACTTTGATGGAGTTTTTTTCCCCATTTTTCAATAAGCTTTCTTTCTCTCCCATCCTCTTCTTACTCAATCTCCTATAAATTTACAGGGACAAGCTATGCACTTTGATACCAGCCTCACTGTATCTACACTAGGGAGTTTGAGTTCTTTAACTAGAACAGTTTCTAACCCTGGATAAAAGCTCTTTGTGCTGACAGGTGGAATTGAATCAGAGACCTCTGGAGCTTAGTGCTTGGGTCTCTCCAGCTTGAGCTAAAAGCCAGCTGGCTCTCAGCTAAGGCTGTAGAGCTCACTCATTCTTTGGCCAACTCTATATTATGCCCAGATGGTTGGCTTAAGATACGCAATTCCAGCTATGTAAATAATGTAACTGGAGTCGACATACCTTAAGCAAAGCTTGTTGCCGTCTCTACAGCAGGAGGTTTGACAGCTTCCCTAACTCCTCACAAATCAAGGAGTACTGGTGCTGATGGGGGCACCATCAGCATTCCATTTAGAGGGTCTTTACTAGACCCACTAAAACGAACCCCCAAAAATTGATCTTTGGCCCATATAGATGTGGCCTCACTGTAAGTGATCTAAGTGGGACAGTGAACCCCACCCAGAAGGTGTGTGAGTTACAGATGCAGACTGACATTGTGTTTCCCATTATTGAGGCTCTTTAATTCTTTCCACTTCTCTGAGTCAGTGTGGCTACCACCAGCTTGGTTTTTCACAGGGGAAACTGAAGCCTCGAGATCTTTACAGGGGGAACAGAAGCCTGTGGTACAGGAAGGAAACAAATCCCCTTTGTGTTTGAGTCACTGCTGAGCCCTCTTCTCTAGTCAGAAGGCGATGTCATTTTTCTTCTCTTCGCTGTGTGAACACTTCCAGACTCAGCATAGCTAAGCTCAATCGAGCTCCGTTCGGTTTGCTCCAGACAATAACGAAATTGACCTTGTCCTCTTCGGGTGGGCCTCGTTATTTCGGAATGGAAGATGCTACAATCTGCTTAGTAAACATTGGTGCCCACTTGAACTCAGATTAATTGTAGTACTGTGCCTGGGCACCGCATTTCAAGAAAGATGTGGAGAAATTGGAGAGGGTCCAGAGAAGAGCAACAAGAATGATTACAGGTCTAGAGAACATGAGCTATGAAGGAGGACTGAAAGAATTGGGCTTGTTTAGTTTGGAAAAGATAAGCTTAAGGGAGGACATGAGAGCAGTTTTCAGGTATCTAAAAGGGCGTCATAAGGAGGAGGGAGAAAACGTATGGATCTTGGCCTCTGAAAATAGAACAAGAAGCAATGGGCTTAAACTGAAACAAGGGAGGTTTGGGTTGGACATTAGGAAAAAGTTCCTAACTGTCTGCCCAGGGAGGTTGTGGAATCCCCATCTCTGGAGATATTTCAGAGTAGGTTAGATAAATGTCTATCAGGGATGGTTTAGACAGTATTTGGTCCTGCCATGAGGGCAGGGGACTGGACACGACCTCTCGAGTTCCCTTCCAGTCCTAGCATTCTACGATTCTATGATTCATCGACTTCTGCTGCTTCTGTTTTGAACTAAGCACGTTCCAGTGGTGTTCCCACAAGACTTTCGTTATGCCAGTGCATGTCCAGCTGCTGCCCAGGCCGGAGCCACTGGCCCATCGCCGCCCCGCACGCCGTCTCTCCTCAGCCACAAGCAGTGACCGCCCTTCCCACACAAGTTCTGTTCTGAAGTTTTGCAGGGCTTCCCGAGTAAAGCGGAGAAGGGGACGACCCAGACGGGTGACGGTGGGACTCCGAGCACCAGTAATGGAAGTGCATGCAACGCCAGCCTGGAGGACTTGGTTTCTCGTCTGAAGCAGAGCCTGTGCAATCAGACCGAGATAAAACTAGGTAACCCTCAGTTCACGGTTGCCCACGTCACAGCTGCTGTCCCCGCCGTGCTGTGCATAGGAGGGTAGGGGGCATTTCCCCCTCCCTTCTCCATGCACTGTGCTGATTTAATGCGATAGTTCAGCGTGAACGATGCTCATCTGTTCAGTGGCGGGAGAGACAAGGTCAGCGAGAGAACATGACTTCTGTGCAATCAGACCGAGATAAAACTAGGTAACCCTCAGTTCACGGTTGCCCACGTCACAGCTGTTGTCCCCGCCGTGCTGTGCATAGGAGGGTAGGGGGCATTTTCCCCTCCCTTCTCCATGCGCTGTGCTGATCTAACGCGATAGTTCAGCGTGAACGATGCTCATCTGTTCAGTGGCGGGAGAGACAAGGTCAGCGAGAGAACATGACTTCCTTGTGTTCCCATTTCAGCTCAAGGAATTGTGGGTCTACTTCCAAGAGATTTGTCTGGCTCTGCAGCTGACTGGAGGGAAAGAATCCCTCTGGGTTGAAAAGTGTCAGAACCATTAATGCCCTTTGCCTCTTTCCATTGTCCCTGCAGGAGGTGCCAGGTGCAAACTCTGCCCCCAAGACTGGCTGATGCGTGGGGACACATGCTACTGGCTGTCAAAAGGGACTAACACCTGGAGCAAGAGCCGGGATGACTGTGCACAGAAGGGATCTCAAATGCTGGTGATCCAGGACCAGGAACACATGGTAACGTGCTTTGTGTGTTGGAGAACAAAGAGAGCCATTCCTCGTGTCTCCGTTCTCTGCTACATGTCTCTATACAGGGATCCCCAAACTGTTGCCCCATAACCTTCTTCTGACACTGAAAATTACTCCGTGACCCCAGGTGGAGGCGTGGGGATAGAGCTGGACCCCAAATCCACCCCCACCCCAGGCTGAAGCCTTCAAGTGTGGGAGAAGGGAGGCAGCCCTCAGATTTTGGCTTCACCTCAGACCCGAGTGAATCTAATCAGGTCACAACCCACTTTGGGATCCCAACCAATGTTCCCTCCAATCTTTTCCATCCCTGTGGGATTTTTTTCCCATCCATGCACTGAATACATTTTTATGTACACCTGCAAATGTGTCCCACCAGTAGAAAAACCAAGACTGCTGATCAGTGGGGCAGCATTTGAGTTTCTCCCGAGCAGCTGCACAAAGGCACAGCTTGCAAGGAACACTGGCTCCAACCCATAGCTCGAGTCCCACTGCATGACCTAGCACAGTAGGGCCCAGGTAAGTGAGAGGAGCTCAGAAAACGAGACTGCAAACCAGACCGGCCGATAAGGAAGATAATAAGTGTAAGCGGGGTCAGGGTAAACTCTGTCCTGACATCTGGTGGTGAACTGTGGCAAGAGGTGCAAAGAGACTTCAGGGGCTGAGCCCAATTTGCATAGACACACCACCACATGTCAGGATAGAGTTTACCCTGACCCCGCTTACATAAGCTTATCCAGAGCTATCACTGTTCATGTCAGCAGAGCTTTGTACAGAGTATTCAATCTCCCACTGTGAAGTTTAAGCCACTGATCTGTTGGAGACCTAGAATCTACTAGGAACCAGCGTGGGGGTGAGATCCTTCTATACCTGCGGCTGCGGGGTACTTACACCTTCTTCTGAATCAGACAGTGCCGGCCTCTATGGCAGACAGGGACACAGCTACATGGGCCAAGGTCCTGCACTTCCTGTGTGCCTAAATTCTACCAGAGCACAGATAACAGGAACTCTTTAGGCAGCTGCTGTGCACCCCCATAATAAACTAACTGGTGAGAACGTGGTTACAGCTCAGGCAGTGAGTTACAGACATTTTGTTTCCAGGCCCAGCGTATTACGATTCTAGACCTCTGATTAGTGGTAATGACATAACAATCCTACACATCAATAATAATGAAAAACTTAAAAACCAACCAATGGTCTAGTAGCACTTTAAAGACTAACAAAAATACCATCTACATGTTCGTGTTAGTCTTTAAAGTGCTACTAGTCTGTTTGTTGTTTTTAAAGTTTTTCCTGGTTACCGACTGACTCGGCTACTCCTCTGAATCAATAATAATGATTATGTATTTTATATGATGGTAGCACAACTAGTGGACCCAGTTAGGATGGGACCTCATTCCAGGGGTTGAGGCTGCCCCCATTGGGAGACACGGTCTTTGAGATAAAAAGTTTACAATCCAAATGACCAGGTAGTCAAACATCGGGGCATTATCCCCACTTTACGAAGGGGCAACTGCGACTCGGAAGTCGAGTGACTTTCTCCAGCGCAGCGTGTGGTGTCGGATTATTGCTGGGAGGGTTTTCCAGCACTGGAGCATCTCGGGGTCTGTCTAACACTGTGTGCTGCTAACACTGGGGCAGAAATAAAAGACGTCTAGAGCCAAACCTTTCATTCAGGTACTTCTGTTGCAGGGTCACCTGAAGTCGGCCCTACCAGAGGTAGATCATGTTTTTCATGCAGGTATTTCTGTTGCAGGGTCACCTGCAGTCGGCCCTACCAGAGGTAGATCATGTTTGGATTGGATTAGCATTTAACTCATCCCAGGGGAGGTGGACCTGGCTGGATGGTGCCCCTGTCCATAAAGAACTGTGAGTGTCTCCTGAGTGTTACTATTTCATGCATGGAAGTTGCCTTGCCGTGTCATTTGCTGGATCAGGGCCTGCAGGGTTCCCCACACCAGCTGCTCTGGGCTTCCTAGTAGTTGAGAATCACAATGTAGGTCACTGGAAAAGATTTCACTTGCGACTCAGCTGTCATGCTCATCTAAGCCTGCTTTACAGGCCCGCTTCTCAAACCGCTCCTCACTTAAGTCTTGCCCTGGGGACGCTTTGTGGAATCCCTCCATCCGATTTAGGAATTTAAGTAAAACTAGAACCCTGTGTAAAAAGCTGCAAAATGTATTTTGGATGGGGGCAGGGACCAGCTGTCTTCTTAGCTGTGCATCTGACTCCAGGTTGAACTTGAGTGCCAGTGCACAGTACCAAATAAAGGGGAATAATCACTTCTCTAGATCTGCTGGCAATGCTCCTCCTAATGTACCTAATATGCCATTAGCCTTGGCTACAAGGGCGCCCTGTTGACTCATATCCAGCTTCTCATCCCCTGTAACCCCCAGGGCCTTTTCTGCTGAACTGCTGCTTAGCCAGTCAGACCCCAGCCTGTAACAATACTTGGGATTCTTCCGTCCCAAGGGCAGGACTCTGCACTTGTCCTTGTTAAACCTCATCAGATTTCTTTTGGCCAAACCCTCTAATCTGTCTAAGTCACTCTGGTCCCTATCCCTGCCCTCCAGCGTATCTACCTCTCCCCCTAGCTTAGTGTCATCCACAAATTTGCTGAGGGTGCCATCCATCTAGGTCATTAACAATGACGTTGAACAAAACCGGCCCTAGAGCTGATCCTAGAGGCACTCTGCTAGAAACTGACCGCCAACCTGACATTGAGCCCTTGATCACTACCCATTGGGGCCAACAATCTAGCCAGCTTTCTATCCACTTTACTTCCTGGCAAGAACATTGTGGGAGACCGTATCAAAAGCCTTGCTAAAGTCAAGGTATATCACATCCACTGACTTCCCCATGTCCACAGAGCCAGTTGCCTCATCATAGAAGCTAATCAGATTGGTCAGGCATAACTTGCCCTTGGTGAATCCATATTGACTATTCCTGTGATCACTTTCCTCTCTTCCAAGTGCTTCAGAATGGATTCCCTAAGGATCTCCTCCATGATTTTTCCAGGGACTAAGGCGAGGCTGACCGGTCTATAGTTCCCTGGATCTACGAGAATCCACTGGGTGTGTGTTTAAATTGATTGCACAGTGCAGCATTCCTAGGTTAGGTGTAGGTATTCAACTCTTGACCTATGTGCTTAAAAAGCACAGGTCTTGCGTGGATCTAATTGGAAGGGTGGCATCTAGATTAGTTTAAACTTAAAGCCAGTAGCAGACTTTTCATAGCTCTCATTCAGCCACTAGATGGAGCGAGAGCTACACCATGAATGTGGTTAACAGTTTCGGTATGTCTATACTACATTCCTCTTTCGAGAGAGGAATGCAAAGCAGGCCTACCGAAGTTGCAAATGAGGCGAGGATTTAAATATCCCACGCTACATTTGCATAATCGCATCCGGGCGCTATTTCGAAATACTTTCTTTTGAAATAAAAAACACTGTTTAGATGCAGTTATTTGGGGAGAAAACCCTTCTTCCGAAATAACCCTTCAACACTCCCCTCTGGTCTGGACCTAACAGCAGTGTCAGCGTTTGCTAGTCGGGGCGCGCAGATGAGAGTATGCAAATGAAGCATGGGATATTTAAATCCCCGTTTCATTTGCAACTCCGGTATGCCTACTTTGCATTCCTCTGTGGAAAGAGGAATGCAGTGTAGACATATCTTTGACTTTTGTGGCCAGAGCAAAAAGCCACACCTGAAATGGTCTCAGTAATATGGACAAGGGGTTACACCTGTAATGGAGGTTTGGTCACCTGGACAAGGCTTCCCAGTGGGCCACCGCATTTCCTGCAACAGGGCTGTGCATGGGGAAATGCAGAGGGGAAAGAAGAAACCTTATGAGGAAGAGCTGCAACAGGCGCTTTGATCACACTAAACTGACAGCGACTTTCTGTTTCATCTGGCAGGTTCCCCGGGATAAATTGGGCTGAACAGAACAGCTGTGGAGTGTTAACAAGGACTAAGATTGATTTAGAAACCTGCCGTGTTCAGTTGAAGTGGCTCTGCCAGAAAGACGCCTTTCTGCTCTAGCCTGCGACAAGACGGATGGGGAAAGAGCATCTTCAGACTCTGAAACCTCTGCAGCGTGTAAGAGGGCTACAGACAACATCACGTCAGACAGCGCCACGTCGGGGGTCAGCTCCCCAACCAGTGTGAATCAGCCAAAGCAGCCCCAGAGTTGTGGGACCCAGAACCCCGGCTGATGCTTATCCCCACTTTTGATGTCAGTGGTTTTATTGGCTACTGAAGGAAAGAAAAGTTAGTGCCTCCTCCCCTGACCGGGCCATCATTGGCATAGGTTTTCCCCACTCCAGCCCCTCAGAATAAAGAGGGACACACACCTCTCCAGGGGCAACGCCAGGGAGCTAGTGCCCCGCAAATGGAAATATTGTGAGACTGCATAATTGGCACATGGCTGGTGGGTTGAAGGCAAAAGTAGCACCTGACCTAGAAGAGGCCTGGGAGCAGGTAGGACCCCCTCCCGATCCCTCCACCACTAAGTCTCAACAACTCCCTTCACAATTCCCTCCTCTCTCCCTGCCCCCCTTTTCCCAGGCAACTTCCACCCCCTCCTCCCATTCCCAGGCAACTTCTACACTTCCACCCCCTCCTCGTTCCCCTGGCTTTAGCCCCGCTTCCTTTTCTATCCTGTTGCCCCTGGCCATGTGTCCTGTTAATCCTTTCCGGGCTACAGAGCCTTTTCCCAGTTACACACCCGGCTGTGTGGCTGTGTGGCCTTTTCCGTTACTCACCCAGCTGTGTGGCCTGTACATTGCTTTGGGGAAATAAAACTTCTGTGAAAAATGCTGTGTTGTTGCCAAGTAAAACTGTTATTTATTGCATACCGTACAGAGGGATAAAAGCTTCTGAGATCAGGGTCCCACTGTGTCCAGAGGTGCAGACAAAATTGCATTACAGTCCATTAGCATAGTTGTAGCTTATCACAAAGTATTTTCAAACCTACACAGTAGTGTGGCTCTACAGGTTGGTCCTCCCTGGTCCAGCGCCCCGGGGATTTGACTACTTCCAGAAGAGAAATTTTTTCAGGTCCCTGCTACCAGCCCCACCCTGTCAAACCTTCCTCCTTCCCCATGTTTCCTAGCTCCCCATGCAGCCCAGCTGAGCTGTGTGTCAGCTTCCAGCCCCTCCCCAGCTCAGCTGAGCTGCCTGATGGTTCCTGACAGCCCCTCCTTCCTCTGCAGTTTAGCTGAGACACGGGACAGCTCCCACCCTCTCCCCCATACCATGTCAGGTCTCTGATCATGGAACATCCATGATCATGCCGGACCATGGATGCTGCCAGCAGGGCCGGATTAAGGGGGGGGGGGGGCGGGTGAGTGGGGGGGGATTAAGGGGAAGGGGGGGCTAGCCGGGCAGCTGCCTGGGGTGCCAATCTATGGGGGGCGCCTGATGGCAGCTGTGAGGGGTGCCAGGGGCCATGCAGCACCCCTTAGAGCTCCCATCAGGTGTTGCGTACCTGGGGCCGCATGGCACCCCTTACCACTGCAATCGGGTGCTGCATGCTGTAAGGTGTGCAGTGCGCCGGGAGGCAGAGCTGCGCATGTGTCGTGTACCCGCTGCCCAGGCACCCCCCATAGGTTGGCAGGCACCAGAGAATCCCGGATTTTAGAGGTGCCTTCTGTATAATGACCTTTGGTCTGACCTACTGTGGCTATTTTTAGGCTCTGCCACAAACTCCATTACCTCTCAGGGTATGTCTACACTACAAAGTTAGTTCGAACTAACTTTCATAGGCGCTACACTAGCGCTCCGCTAGTTCAAATTTAATTCGAACTAGCGGAGCGCTTAGTTCGAACTAGGAAAACCTCATTTTACGAGGATTAAGCCTAGTTCGAACTAGCTAGTTCGACACTACAAAGTTAGTTCGAACTAACTTTCATAGGCGCTACACTAGCGCTCCGCTAGTTCAAATTTAATTCGAACTAGCGGAGCGCTTAGTTCGAACTAGGAAAACCTCATTTTACGAGGATTAAGCCTAGTTCGAACTAGCTAGTTCGAATTAGGGGCTGTGTAGCCCCTTAATTCGAACTAGTGGGAGGCTAGCCCTCCCCAGGTTTCCCTGGTGGCCACTCTGGCCAACACCAGGGAAACTCTATGCCCCCCTCCCGGCCCCGGACCCCTTAAAGGGGCACAGGCTGGCTACGGTGCCCGTGCCAGGTGCAAG